TAGTTGACTTATTTTTTATTTTATCAATTTATAAAAATTTATGGGGCGCCAATCCAATTGACGGATTAAAACTAAAAAATGGGGCGCCAATCATGAAAATGGGGCGCCAATCAAAACAGTGCCCAAATTTAATCTCTTTAACAGTGATGGAATTAAGTATGTCGGATATTTTTTAGTAGATCGTTACAAACCTGAAAATATAATTCCAACTGTGAAACATGGTGGAGGATCAATAATGGTTTGGGTTGTATATCATACAGTGGTGTTGGTAGAATTGTTTTTATTGAAGAAACAATGACAGTTGCAGTGTATAAGCAATTTTTAGCCAATAAAATAAGACAATCTGCTCGTGAAATGGGTTTTGAGGAATTTATCTTAATGCAAGATAATGATCCTAAGCATACCTCAAGACTTGTTTCCAACTGGTTAGATAAAAAAGACATTCATGTTTTAAATTGGTTACCACAGAGTTCAATTATAACCCTATTGAGGCAGTCTGGGCTCTTATAAAGTACAAATTGGCTCAATTTGGTAAATTTAGAAAAGATGAGTTAAAAGAAAAAAATAAAAAAAATTTGGTATAATATACCAGTTAACTTGATACAGAAGTATGTTGATAGTTTTCAAAAGAGGTGTATAAAGCAAAAGGCTATAACACTAAATATTAAATTTATTGATGGTCACGTTTTTTTGGACAATTTTTTAAAAAATTTTTGTAAAGATTTTCTTTTTGCATAAAATTTATTGTTATTTTTTGAAATTAACTGTATTTATTATTTAAATATATGCTGTTTTTGAAAAAAATTAATTTAATACTGTAAAACAATATATTTTATAAAAATTTTAATGGTCACGTTTTTTAAGCAATACCGTATCTTTAAATTACTTTAGTTGAGCTGTTGTTTTAAATAAAAAAATTCTTGCATCTATTATAAAATTAACTTTAAAAAATGTTTTTAAAACTTAATAATATGGGAAAGAATGCACCAAAAAAGATTTTATTAATAAAGTATCTAAAGAGCTTGAAA